TTCTTGGATACGAAATCCGGAAACACTATTCAAAATCTCTAAGATGCTTCTGTGTATTGTTCTTCCACTTTTCATGATAGGTGAGTATCGAAATTTACTGTTCGATGCAGCATGTCCTAACCTATATATGATATCAAGTCGACGTGTATCTTCTCTTCAGTGGCGGTCTAAAACGAGGCTGACCAAAAATTTATTCAACTAACACTTCAACTGTTCCACTCTTCTCAGACCCGAATTGATCCGAGTCGGCTGCCCACAGTTGTTCCTTCTTCCAATATGCGCCTTCGTAGTCGCATCAAGACAACGAGTCCTGTGAAGCACACCCGAATGAAGTAACCTCGCCCGTCAATGAAAAATATATCTCGATTGCTCATGCCGAGGTTAAAAGAAAGTCATTTTTGTCGAAGCAATGTTTCTGGAAATCACTGTTTATTTCACCTCGGCCTTAGTGGACAATAATTAATAATTCACTTTATTGATGAGTTTACAACAACTTCTTAAGAAAGCTCTTCATTGTGGTTGACGTTTCGGCCTCGTCTTCGAATTCCTCGAATCCGTAATGATTCGAACTGCACCATCATAGTAGTTGCCTTCTGCGATGTGGGCCTTCGTAGCAACATCGAGTCAAAACCACTAGAATGGAATACAGCACGAAGAAAATGTTTGAAGGAATAACTAACTAAACCAACTTTCACTTAAACACGGCGCGAGTAATCAATAAATTTCTTTGGATTGTTCAGTTTACACGATGTTGTTATCCAACTTTTATTCGGCTAACGTTTCGATGTCCTCGTCTTCTTCAAAGCCGATGATTCAAGTCGATGTCCAGAGTCACTCGTCTTCTCTAGGTGGTATCTTCGTCGTCATACCGAGTCCAATCTTCTTCAACGTAGCACCTCTCGAATCAGGCAACCCCCATCCGGCAGCTCTCCTTCATGCAGGACGGTTGTTGACTAACTGCCGACTGGTGATGATTTCTTTTCATGTTGACAGTTCGTCCTGTAGCGGTCGGGCGTTCATCTTTTTTACAACCTCGTGTAAGCTGAACAATCCAAACAACTGTTTGAACTAACTCTCTGTTTTTTAATAAGCATAGACGAGGTGGTTGTTACATATCATTCATTAGTTCGCAACATTTGACATTTCTGCGGATTTGGCCTTCTTCGGAGCAAAGAAAGCTCGGGTTAACCGTAACATTGTCAGCCAAGCATCGCCATAAATAATCTCAGCAGAAAACTTCGACACCCAATTAGATATAAAGCAACCTCTTCACACACTCACCGCTGAAGTGTTTGAAGTGTTTTTGCTCGTGCAAGGTAATGGAAGCAACAAAGTGTCTGAACAATCCAACCAGTCATTCTCGATATAAATCTTGCCATAGTTTTCACCAAATAGTGAAGAAATGGGTACGAATGGTGTAGTACTATGTTTAAGCGAGTTCCTAAAATAAACGTTCAGAGCGGAGCTCGTGTTTATACATCTATTGAACAAACTCGTGACATTATGAATTACACATTATTTGTACAATATAAAACTAATTCTCCCTTTTATTTCTGCACCTGTATCACCCGTCGTCTACTTAATCGTCGAGTGACTCGAGCGGGTGTTACTAAATCTTCCGTTCTTTCCTGTTGCGTGCAAGAGTAGTCCAGTGATTTCTGCCCGTTCTAGGGACTCGATGAGCATATCTTCTTCCAGGATTTTCGTAAAAAAAACTTTGACCATCGGGTCGGTGGTCTTCCTGCAGTACGTTTGACATTTCGAGGAATCCGGTCACTAACGGCTCTCGCTCTCGGCTCTCTTGTCGTTCATACACATTATGCCTCTGGCTCACCTTATCTTCGAAACTTTAGCGTATAGAACAGCGTCTTTGATTTTGATCGTTGACGCAGGTCCGAGCTTCGTATCCCATCCTTTACTTGTGTGAAACGGGATACTCCTAACATCGTTCTCTCGACTGCCCGTTCGATAACGCTGAGTGATCTTCCATCCTGCTTATCCAGCAGCCAGGTTTCTTACGCATGCGTTAAGACAGGAAGTATCGTGGAGTCGAAAGGGTGGGCATGGAGTCGGGTATTCTTTGTTCTCTTCACTACATCGACGACTCTTTTGAAAGCAGTTTGGTTTCAGCGCATCGGTCATGCAATAACATAATGATGAATGATGACAATAATCTAGAAGAATAGTGCTATAAAAGCTGCTTTTTTTGTTCAACTGCAGTTTAAATTAGCACCTATAGAACTACAATAATGCTGAGATATTTGCAAAACTCCCGACCGCAGGTGTCTGCGGTGGGGAACGAACGCGCTATTACTCCTTCGGGGGCTAACGCGTTCACCAACACACCATGCGGGCCCTTGTTTCGCTTGTTTCTCAACTAGTTCTGCCGTAAGAAAACTGTAGTAGGCAGTAAATAAAAGGTTAACATTGCGATTTCGACTACAGTCTCAGCTTAACTGGGTTCATTGCCGACTTGGGTTCCCTAGATCAATCCCGTTGACGAGTGATTGCTGATGGCACTAATCGATAGAACTAGCTAAGAGACAAGCGAAACGAAAGACCTGCATGGTGTGGTGGTGAGCGCGTTTGCCCTGGGATGAACTAATAGCGCGTTCGTTCCCACCGCAGACACCTGCGGTCCGTGCTTTTGCAAATATCTCAACATCATTATGAGTAAAAAGTTAACATTGTAACCCCAATGCACTTTTGCGTGGCTGCCACACATTTTATTTATTTCAGCTATTTTTTGTCGTGGGGGAGTTGCAGTGAGCCCGACGCGTGCCGTCCACGCTGTCCTCCTCTCCCAAATTGACTGCGCCTTTTCTTTGCCTTTTTTTTTTATCTTACAACTCGATTTTTCCGCCTATTTTTTCTCTCATCTCTTTTGCTTTCTATGCTCTACATGTTTCTTGTATTCCTCTCTTTGTCTTTTCATGTACATTTTATGTTCTTATTTGTGTTGAAAAAAATTCTATGATCAAGCCTGTAAGATATGCAGAGCATTTTCTTTCCTTATTTCTTTGCTTTCTACAAGTTTGTTTCTCCGATCCCACATGATAACCATAGGATCGGAAATGAAAAAAGTCAGTTACTGGCGAAAAATGAAAGTTGCCCGCTTGGATTATATCAGCAGCAAGCGAATTGAACTTCATTTTCGATGGAATGGCCATCGAGACAGAATCAAGACGATGAGGTAGTCGGTGGTAATGGTGAGAGCTGTTGTCTGCTCAGACACTGTGACGATTTTTGACCACTAGATTCTGCGTAATAGGAGTGAATTGCTGGAACTGAAAGAATTTCAACTACTGGAGCTGCTGCTTGGATGCAAAGAACTAATGCGTTTTCATGAATTTTTCATTAGTGTTTAGAAGCTTTTTCTAACAATGAACGACAGGCACGAACAATTGAGTGATTGCCGTATAGGGCCCATAAGGCGACTTTCTTTACCAGGCTGTTAAAGCCTCATGCAGTCATAGGCTAGAAAGAGAGAAGTTATCGGTGGACAAAAGCGCATAAACAATCAGATAATAAAAAGTGGTAAAGTTGTTGGCGTTGATCGTTCCCTGAGAGATGCACCATTAATTCGACTTCATTAAGCAGGTAATTGAATGCATGTCTGGCCTATATAATGATTCGCGGTGGTCCACCGATGTATCGAGCCAGTGCTTCTATCCTCTCGGACAAGTCTGGTATCAATTTAGCGACCCTGGAGAGATGGAAGATTTTGTGATCCTAGAGCGCGAGGATGAATACCATGTGTATTGCAGCGTTGCTTTGATCACTGCGTTACAGGCGATTCTAAGCGGTCAGACAGTGGCCATTTTTCCATAGGTGAAAAGACAGATGTCTATTTCAACCTGATCAAAGAAGTATATAGGATGCCTTCTTCATCAGCTGCGTATATTTTGAAAAAGAATCCAAAAAGATTGACACTATCTATTATCGAAAGCTAATAAAATGTCACAACTCCGATCTACGGTAAATCGTGTGAAGCCGTTCAGCATTAGATATAACGGTGGCAACAAATATGTTTGAACATTGTTGTGTACTTTTTCTATTCTATATGACCCGTCTTCACGTCTTCTGCGCGGATCCCAGCACTTCCCACGTTCGATTCATTTCCTCGCATCCATTGTCCACTAAGATCTTTCTTGCAGCTTTACGTGTTGCTTCGGTTGCTGCTCCAGGATTTTCACTTCATCTTGAATGTCGTAGAATGCTGGTCGAGTGATTCTCCCTGGAGTCCTCAGATAGCCGGACTGGTGCGTTCTCAGTTGGATTGCAGAGAGTGATTTTTTCGCAGACAAATCCGGTACCAATTTGCCGATCCCGGAGGGCCCGGAACGAAATCCAACTAGCACCATGCTCGTGATAACGGGCATCACTACCATTGTGCTATCGGCCCCTAAATAAGTACTTAGTAAGTGTACAATAATATAACTACAACGTTAACGTTTGCAACGATAATTTAATCTTATGGGAATATTAGTTCAGAATATGCACTCCTTCACAACACCTACTCTGCACGTAGATGAATGGGCCGCATTGTGTGGCCTTGCTGGTACTTCTACATATTACGTAGTTTCCGCAGTTCAGTGCTATCGTAGCGACGAAAGGGTCCTTGTTTGAAAGCGTGTTGGCCAATTACACAAGAGACTCCAGTCATTGAAACAAACTCATAAGAACACCTTTTTCGTGTGTCTAGATGTAAAATTGAGTGCTTCCCGATCGACACTCGTCATAACACCTGCATTGGATAACCCATCAATTGATGAGAGAAATTTTGTGATAAAATGGAGGCATTTTGTGGTGAAATAAACAGCCTGGAAGACTACGTATTGAAAATATGTGTGGTCGCATTATTGCTGAGTGAAAAAAAAGATTAAGGTGGCTGTCCAAAGAGGCCTTCTTTAAGTTGAATATAACCCTTTATCCTGAAGTAGACCACAGAACTGAGTAGACTGCTATTATGAAATAACAGCATTATTTTATATCTTTTCTGAGCCACCTCATTTCAGGACTCAACGATGCATTACGATGCCTTCACTGCAACGGATGGAATGGTGCATATCCCCTTCGGAATGTTATATTTCCGAACTGCGATAATGAAAATAATCAGTGTCAGGTAAATGAGTTGAAATATTCGAAGTAACTTATTCATGTTCACTGATACAGACCTTCCTCCCAGCGATTTACCGCCTCATCGTGGCTGGGAGGTGTTCCTCTGGATGTCGGGCTGCGATGTACAGCGAGGGGTCTCATCCACTCGACCGGGTCTCCCAAGCTGAAAAGAAGTCCGGCGTTTCCATCAGGAAGCCTGGTTAAGAGTATACCAATACCAGGATCCACCACCGTCCTGATATCAAACTATTTGGATGGTGGGAAATCTCCCTCTGATGCATAAGGGCGGCGACAGCCTTTGGTGGTGACAACCTGGAGCAGACTTTGGCTAGGCTGACCTCCGGGACTTCAGAGAAACAAATTAGCTTAACAAACAAAACTCGGAAGAATGGAAAATATGCTAGAGCCATCACAACCAGTGAGGATGGGCCGCCAAACCATCCAAGTAAATAAGTTGCAGACTTTATATTAAACGGTACTGTTTTGATACCATTGGGGCACATGTGGCGCAATGGCGTTAGGCGCCCTGCAACACACACGTGGAATCAATTGCCGAGCCAATGGCCCACTAAACACTCCATCCCTCAGCGGTCAGCAAATTGGTGCCAGACTTCTCTGGGTGAATAGCAGCACTGGCTCGTCACATCGATAGGCCACCACGAGTCATTGGGCCATATATGCATTCCGTTACTTTCAAACGATCCTTGATGAAGTCCAAGGCAAAGCGCATCACTTAGGGATTGATCGATGCCGAGAGCTTTTTTCTTTATTACTTTTATTTTCATTTATTTTAATACCATACTATCACTATATAACGTCTCTTCTATTTCATATTCATCGTCTATTTTCCAATTGCAGTCGCACATCGGTGGAGCCAATAATGACACAATTCATTAACTTTCTCCCTTGAGTTGCCCGCTCAGCAAGAAATGCGCTTGATAGACGCCCACTTGTTCTTCCGTCGTATCACAGAACCCTTGGCGCACGTAGAGCATTGGTTTAGGATACATCCTATGCAATGATGGTCGTAGGTTTGATCACAAACACAGGGCAAACCACACCCTCCAGGCCTACGAGGTTGGTACCAGACTGTTTTGGTAGAATGACACACTGACAATGCCGACTTGTGACCTCCAGATCAATCCCGTCGACAGGTGATTGATGATGGCACTGATTGATAGAAATGAGACAGGCGAAAAGAAACACCCGCATGGTGTGGTGGTGAACGATTTACCCCTCGAAAGGGTAATAGCTTGCTCGATTATTACCGCAGATGCCTACGATCCGCGGTTTTTCAATTATCTCAGCGTTATTGTAATTATAAACACTGACTCAATACGTAGATTGGCCACCGCAGGCCACCACATAGAAGAAAATGAATTGAGTAACTTCAACAACTTTTAATGAAGTCGAATGGAACATTTCTAGGAGATTTATCAACAACATCGAATGCCCTATCCTTATCCACATTACAAAACCCAGCAATTTGCTATCTACGCACTACTTTTTCTGTTTACTACTTCCTCAACGTCTTTTCTTGCTTTCAAAGTAGTTGTTGTACTAAGTAAAGATGGTACATCAGAAATAAAGTATTCATTATCTCTGTCAAGTTCAGTTGTAAACTTCCTTAGTTTGTAGTTAAGATTAGGCACAACTCGTTTTACAAATTGTTCGCCTAGAGTGAATACCAAGATCACTTAACGTCCCCATCCTACATTCGAAAGAACGAAAGCGTCGAATACTAAGGATTATATCTTTCTACTTCTGTTCAGCAAGCACGAGGTGCTATTTTATTTCTTTATTTACGCACAAGCTGGCGTTTCGGCGGATTTCGCCTTCCTCAGAGCTCGGAAGGGTCAAGTTGACTATAATCTACACGGTCAAACAACTCCATGACCAAACAGAGAAAACGCTAAACCAAGATTTCAATCACATTTAGCATAGCTCTGCACACTCACCGCTTTCTATGAGTCTTCCACTGAGTATGTCGCGTGAAGACCGACCGCACAGAATTCACATGGAAGCGTAATGTGCCCCTCCCAGGATTAGGACTAAGGATTATTACCTTTGGTCAATCAGATGGCTTTATTCTATGGTTATTCAGCCCGTTTTATTTATTCCATCAAAAGAGTGGTATGTCGTACTTTTTTCTCAATGTTGTCACCTGAAACTAGTGGCCGCCTAACTTATCTTACGGGTTCTGATATCGGCAGACTTTTCCCTGTGTAAATTCGTTAAGTAACACACCATGCTTGATGTTTATCAAACCCTACACATCTTGGTTCACCCAGTAATTCGGATTGTGAACTTGTTCCCCACAGGTAGAATTGTTTCCTCTATTTTCTCTGAGTTTGGTGTGAAGAATTTCTCCGACTTCACAGCTCTGGTAGAGGGAAACATTAAGGCAGCATTGATCCGATCAGTAAACCATGTTTTATATTCGAATATTCTTCTGTCCTTCTGATCATACCAACTTCGTGACTATAAGTGCGAGAGTTCGAAATATTGTTTTTTATAGCAACTATCCACGGAATAGTTACCATTTCTTTCTATTACTGCATGTTTCTGTAGTAAGGATCATATCTACCGCTTCTCAAGTTGCCTGGCAAATGTCGTAGTACATAAATATTTTGATCCCATCCAAGGGAACTTCGTATAGAGAATTGCTCTATCAAATAGTGAATTCTCTATCTACCTAGCAGACACATTCAATGGGTCGATGGAGACGCCCTATGCCACAACGCCACTAGACACAGCATCTCGTGGCCATCGATCACACCACCGGGCATTTCGTTGGGTACGTCTCATTGTTTGGGGAATGGACCCCGCGGCCCGGGCCTTGACCATACCACCAACGACTCGCTTGGACGTAGCCACGCCCGGCTAGCACCGCACTTTTTTTTGGCAATCTCTATCGAGTCTTACGTTCGACTTCACTGCCTTGTTCTTACGCCAGTATTCTTCCATCGTTATTCCTGTTGTATTGGTGTTGCCTTTAGGTATATAAAGATTTAATCCCAAATTTGAGTGTCGAAAGGTGTCCCTGTATCAACTACGAAAAGTCCTGTGTGGCGTCTTCTCACGAAGTCGGGCATTCTGTTTAAAGCTAGTGGCTATTCGGTGTCGAGAACTGACTCGAAGGCCTATATTCCGCTAGCAACTGCGATATTTTTGTTCCCACATTGACATCAAATTTACAAACAACTACTTTATCGACGGACTTTTACAAACAAATTTATCCCTGCGTTAAATATTTCGCTTGTTTTTCGACCCTAGCGGATAGTTAGACGTAAACAAAGAAAATTGTCCCATTTTTCATGGACTCTGAGACATTAAATGACTTCCTCTATATGACGATTTCCATGGTGATGTCCATTCCAGATCCATCAACTACTTTATTGTGGAACATTTCAAGAATATGTTCTTCTCTTATAACCTTATAAAAGTATGAGTGTTATCGTTTTCCTGTGACTGCAATAAGAAACAGAGAGAAAACTAGATTCTGACATGATTGTACCTTCCAGGGTTCCCGGTCCTCCCAGCCAGAGTCTTTCAGGCAATTGCTATTCCAGATTTGTGTGATGTAAAGGATTCATAGCCCTGTTAACTAACAAATTCTACTCATAGCATGTATACTTCACTGTCATGCCGATTACTCTTCAACGAAGTAATCCAGCCACAACTGTTTTCGACCCGTAGATAACTCAAGTAAACTGGTATCAAAAAGTTACCTGTAGGTTTTTAAGTGAACACCTAAGAGTTAGTGCCACTGTCACTTGCAGTTTACCCGTTTTTATTGTTTTCTGAGTTTCAGACGAATTACTTCTGCGTAAAAATCGTCGACCCGTTAATTCCAGGCGCTGGGTATTCGACACACAAAGGAGATTGCTGGTGAGTGGCTGCACATAAAAGTGTTCATTAGAACTCATGATGAACATCACACAGTTTAGGATGTCGGATCGAATTCAAGTTCCATCAATTAATAAAACCATTATCCAGAATAAACATTGCTATAAGTATGAAGACGATGCGATACCAACAAATCGGTATGTTTGCTTATCGACAGTTTTGAGTATTCTCAGCAGTGGGTAATACTCCAAACAGAATGAAGCCTGATTTTACTGTTTCGAAGACTTGAAAACGCTTCTGCATGGCGGAATAAGGATTTACGGTTACGTTACCGCAGTAAAGAAAAGTAAGTGCATAAAATGCATTTGTTATTCTGTCAATGTCTAGATAGAAGAGGAATATAAGGCATAATGCTCCCTTGTATCTTGCCTACTGATTTCCCTTCCACGTTGACGGTGAAGTAAACTGTCGTGCATTTTAAAACCTTCATGTTTAATATAGTTGAATCGGCCTAGGCTAAATTATTTGTGTAAGAAACCATAGCGGCAACTAGGAATTGTTAAGAATTATACAGAAAACCGAGCATAGGAGAAAGAATTGAAAAGTAACTGAGAGGAAGGTGAAACGAAGGACCTGTACGGTGTGGTGGTGAACGCGTTAGCCCCTAAAAAAGGTAATAGTGGTTTCATTTCTCATCGCAGACACATGCGGTCCAGAGTTTTGCAAATGTCCTAGTATCACTGTGGTTTCATTTCACATAATACCCTGCCGAGAAAAATTATAGCTGGCAGTAAATTTGGTAAAACGCACGAAAGGTTGCTACATAGCATTCCATAGCCCCAGATAGTGAAAGAAATCTCGGAATTAGTGGTCCACTCTTAGATGATGAAGCCTCAATTTTCCGAAGGTTACCCTCCCAGTGTGGGTGATACTACTGTAGAGTGTATCCCTGCTGTACACAGGTAACGCCCTTCGCCAACTAGACTCCAGTACAAAACACCATTAGTGGTCAACAAAAGCAAAACGATTTATTGTTAATTTGAGATAATATTTGCCGCCGGATTTTTCCCGCAGTCAAATTAACTTCCCTGCAACCTGGTAATTTCTGTTTAAACGTATCGCTTGCGTGGTACACACTAAAGACGGACCGCTGAGTGGCCCACACATCGATTTTATTCTCAACAGGGTTTGGGAATATAAGGATATGGAACGATGGCTATACTTATTTTCTAATGATTTGTCACAATCCTAATGCACTAAGGCACTGTTTCGACATCGTCGAGCTGTTTAGGGGTGTGTGGTTGCAGCTAATGGGAATATTCATGTACGAGGACGAGAAGCCGACTCTTTGTCATTCATTAGAACCATAAAATAACTGAAAATGAGTGAAAAGCAATGTTGACTTATTAGGAATGGTTGGTATGAAGAAGGAAACCGATTGAGGTGAACCGACAGTGAACACCCAGACAAAACAACAATCTGGAGGTTGGGATACAAAGTGAGTGGATCATTTTGCTCGTCGACTACCTCTGTCCATCGAGATAAGCTTTTTGTATTCTAGATGTCCATAATTTTGCACTTATACGTTTCATTCGACAGTTCTTCGGTCACCCTTCAAACGTTAGCGAAACATTGCTATCTTCTACACATGCTGCAGGCTCAGCAGGCCATGATAACTCTTCAACTGATTTTAAGATAGAGCTAAAAGGATCTCTTACACAGTGAAAGTAGGAATCAGGTGAACGAAAACGATCTTCAGTGAATCCTAAGAGAAGCAAAGTGGTCAAACCAGAAAAACTGGCTAACCAAAGGTCCATCGTTTTACTAATTTTCGTTTTCAAAGCTGGACGTAGGAAACAACATAGATAGTAGTTGTGAGGAGTAGAAAAGTTGGCAATACGTTCAAGCCGTATGGTACGTTAAGAGTGGCACCGGTGCAGTTTATATCAGTAATCACTTGATGTCTGAAATGGTATTTATTCTGACTTGTTTTGTGAAGCGAGAGACGCGGTAGCAGCAGTTGTTGTGTAATACACACATGGTCGCTGGTTCAACATCACCTTCGGTCAACTAAACCATTCGATGTCAGCAATTAGCAAAAAACCTAGTTGAAAAGAGCTTCCTCTCTAATTCGACCAATATTCAACAACACTCATGAAGAAGATTCTCAAGCAGCAACCGAAATCACGCAGAGAATCTAAGTGTCTTTGTGAGTAACGGATGCCAGGAAACGGACAAAATGGAAAAGCGCTATGTCCACACAAAGTATGAATACCAGTCGTATAAAAAGTGAAAAATGTAATTTGAAAAAAAAAACAGAATGTTGACGAAGAAATATAATACGGCTGAGTATGTCCTTCTGTCCTCATTCCTTTCTGGCAAGTATTACCATATTCGCACAACTGCTCTCGATTCTCACGAATGCCCAGGAGAGAGAATGGAGGAACTCCAAGAGTTTTTCGAGTTGTACGATCGTATGAAACCTTCAGATGTTGAGAAGTATCGAGTAATAGCAAGAAAGATATGGTTCTTAACGGCTCACTACCGTTGCTTCATTACTTCTACTCTATATGTGTGCTTTTAGGTGGAAGTACTGCTTCTGTAATGACACTGATTACTGCAATTCCGTTGGCCATCCATACATTCACTTAGCTGCCTTCTTTTTCATCGTTGGTCCCCTATTTTTATGAACTGTTCGGATTTGATTTGACAACGAATTAAGTTCCCGAGCACTGAATAACCTTGTGTACTTCCTGGTCTTTATGTCTAATGTGAATGTCTTTAGAGCATATGGCTATTGTTCATGCTTGCATAATAAATGTGTTAATGTACTAAAACGAGTAAAAGGAACAATTCCTAGGCATTTTCGTCGAAAAGGTCAAGAACGTAGTGGTCGATTTCGTCGAGAAGTAGCCCTCGTTTTTGAAGCTCTCGAAACGGACGAAACAGACCTAGAAATTTATCTATTTGTGGAAAGTTACGAGCTACCCGACGTGTTATCTTAAAGTTTTCTACAAAAACTTTATTTAATTTCTCAAGTCTTTATCGAAGTCTCTACCCCTTAAGTCCCCATCATCATTTATGATTAGGTTTTATGACCAGAGCATATGATAACCACGTCATGGATTTATTTTTCTTTAACTAACAACCACGAGTTCTTCTCAGTGGCATTCATTTTTGATACTAATGAAGCACTAGTAGTCATTCGTAACACAACGATTAATGCATTTTCGGACAAGCTGTAAACTTGATGGATCGGCAGACCGCGGTTGTGCTATGATCGGAGTGGGTTGCCTCTCAATGGCGATCCATTCTCTCGCTTTGTTTGCTTTCTTCTGGAAAAACTACAATGGTTTCTTGGAATCGTGAGTTTCCGGTCTGATGTTGTTCCATTAGGATTAGAGTGTGCAGGGACATGCCACTTTATGGTTGAATTGGAATCTAATTTCCGAACAAAGCAACAATTTAGATGTCTACGGCAGAGAATTAATCCCAGGCACTGATTTTTACTACGAATCTACTCGTCTGTTCCTTCCGCAGAGTATGAAGTGGTCACGACAACATGTTTTTAGACCTACTGACGGATGTTTTGTGGAATACAAAATTTTACGCTATTCCTATTGCTAGTTCTTTATTCCTATAACGCATTTTTATGCGTATATCCCACTAGATAGTCATAGTGGGTGAAAACTTAAGGTAAAAACCACATTCTAGAAATAGCGCACACATCTTTAAACAACATCTGTGAAGCGCTCATATTCTCGAGTACTATAGTTAACGAAAAATCATTAAGAGTTGTCCTAAGACTAGTTCGTCACCACATGCTCATTAGCACAAACACAATACTTGGTATCATGGAACATACTTCGTAGTAAACGAGGCTAAAAACTTGTATTTCGAAGGGTATGGTAGTCAGGAAATATGTCATAACCCTTAGTCTAAAATTACATTTCGTCCTTTGTCGTGACATTACGACAATCAAAAAGTTAGTCCACATTAGAGTATCCAAAGAAAAGTTGCTGATGCTTCCCGCTTTGCCCAGTTTTCTCGGCAGTCTATCTACCTACTCCTACAGCACCCAGGTAGTAGTATTGATCTATGCCATCTGTTCTATCGCTAATCAACGAACAGACAATTGTATTGACTTCATTAGTCAGTGTCTAGCCATTTTCAGTTAACAAAATATCCCATTTTTGATAATCAATGTGATATCCAATTCGTATTGCATGGAGTTCTTCCACTGATAGGTCATCTCCACTTGTTCTTATTGCACTCCTTGAAGTCATTTCACCACCGACAGATTATTTGCCTAACGCTGTAGCTTCGCTGATCCACGATCGTCTAGTTTTCCATGGTGAGAATTTCCATGGACCGCCCGAGTACCCAGTATATAATTGATTAGCTCATACCATTCTTCTGTTGATTGTACAGTAAAGAGTTCTGAACTGCGGCGTCTATTATCTTCTGGGTCTTTTTGGAACTCGGTTCCTCTATTATTGTCCACCAGTGATATTATTATCATTTATACATCTGCCTATTAATGCGAAAAGGGTAGAATCTGTGATCACATAGAAGTTACTTCTTTGTTCTCGCGGTTCTTATTCATTTCGGTAGGACGACCATGATGGCGCTGTGATGGCGCTAGTACATGGTAATAAAGAACTTATCCACGAAAAAGGTGTTTGGGATTGAACATGACATGATCACTTTTGTGCTATGACTTAAAGCGTTGTTGGAAATCCGGTAAAACATTTCCTGTGTTCTTTCGATTGCAGATTAAACCACTCAAAAGAAGGATTCAAAGCTCTAAAAGCTTTTTCGTGAATAACGAGGCCAGCATACTAGAAAAAGATGAAACAGACTTTGTTTTACGAGTGTAGACTTAAGTTTACGGGATTACAAATGGCAAAGATCACCAATGAGGTCATCAATTTGCTTTGAGATTCACTTGGTAAGAAACAAAGAATAAAACCCTCGGCGTCGATCAATCCCTGAGGGATGCGCGATCCATTCGACTTCATCAAGTATCGTTTGAGGTGACTGAATGCATATCTCGCCTATAGAATGACTCCCGGAGGCCAACCGATGTATCAGGTCAGTGCTCCTATCCTCTCATACAAATCTGGTACCAATTTACCGAGCACGGAGGGATGTAAAGCTTTGTGTGCCAAGGAGGCGAAAATTAATCCCATGTGTGTAGCAGGGAGCTCCCGACCACTGCGCCACAAGCGCCCCTTTTTCCATTGGGTAGTGGTGGATCAACTGCTTTATGAAAGTGAAGAAGTCAGTCGTTGTTTCAATTGAATTAACAGTGTTGAACGGTGCCATTAGACGATAGTCATACCTGTCAATTGTTCGTTGATTTCCAAAGCCAGAATAATTGGTACTGTAAGGTACATATGAATTGAAAAAACTACAAGTATCGTCTTCCATGTTCGTGGCAGCCTACGACCACAAATAATTCGCATGAAACGGATAGCGATTCGCCGAACTTGTCTCATCGACGCATTCTTAATGAGCTATGTGAAAGAAGTGTCGAGTCGAGGTGAGCTACAACAACGAGCGACAACAAGCGACAACGAGCGACAGCGAGCGAGAAAAGGCGAATCGAAGCTAAATCCAGTGCTGCGAAAGCGGAAATTCTGTTTTTAACATAAAGTACAGCAATTAACAGTGACTTCGTGCAAATACGGTGAGCATCTTAGCCAATGTATAGTTTGAAGGTGGAACATGGGAAATAACAGTTTTCAGGTTAGTGATGAAAAAATGGAATAATAGAAGAAGCATCAAATGGAAAAATAGAAGAAAAAGTAAGAAATTAAAGGGATATTGAGAGAAAAAGAAAAATCGAAGAATAGATAGAGTTTGAGAAAGAAAAAGGAAAATTGATTTTTTGAATAATTTCAGGGTCATTTATAATTCTGCTAGAGCAAATACATTTAACAGCAGTGGCTCAAGCCATACCATGCCAATTGAACATGTGTAGTGTGATTAAAAGAGTCGAAACTTTAGTCAATACTAAATAAAGTGAATGAAACGGAAATAAAAGCAGAAGCAGAGAAAGTTCCTGTAGAATGGGAGGAGCTGAAAGAACTCGTCTAGAGAGGTAGTAAACATAACGCGTTTGTTCATTTACGTCTTTCTCCACATTGAAAACAGCAGTGCACCGGAAAGTTTGTAAAGTAGTAGAAGTATTTTTCTTGACTTGGTTTTTATAGGCTTAGCATTTTGAGATTCCTTCAAAACTAGTACGTTTATGAGGTGGAAACGCTGGGACAAAGCTGTTACACTTAACTGAAAGAACTTTATCACTTGGATATTTAAAAATCGTGTAGAATTCAGAGGCCTTTAGTCTCCTTGGCATTTTCAAGTAAGCCTTGGAGTGTGGTTGCCATCACTACAGCTCCAATAAAAGGACCTAGCATGCACAGAAATTACGTCTACTAGAGGGCTATCATATCCTAATGCAATAGTAGAAACTGATTAGCTCGATGCAACCTTATCCTACTGCTATCAAAGGTGACCTTCGACGAGAACAGACGAGAAGCAAGTGAGGCAGGCGATGTGGTCAAAAAATAAGGAGCCGTTTAAAGCAATTATGACTGATTAAAATGTTTAGAACTCGTTCTTATGCCAATTATTCCGTGACGTTTAAAAGACTGCTGAGAAAATGAAGGAGAAGTGGAAAAATAAAATGCTTAGATATCGTGGTCGCTATGAGAGGCCGAGCACGCGATGAGACTGAAAGGCCTGCGCTCTGGGTGCCGGACGCCCAACAATTACGATTTTCTAGATAAGCGTGCTCAAGAGCGATGAGAATGGGTACTGAGAGATTTATTGGACGAAAGAAGTCATGGAATCATTTGAAACTTTGACTGTGAATTATCCACGAGAGGAGTTTTCCATTGTCGAGTGAAAACCGGTTAGGATCTAATGAACACGACAGAAAAATGAAGAATATTGACAAAACCCAGCAAGTAGAGTCGGGTAGATCTAGTTCTAGATGGTTGATGTTTGGAAGGCATACCGTCGTGACGATTAGTATTTCCTTGCAAAGAAATTTTAGTAACGCTGCAGCATAGAAGAAAATGCCACGGATGATGAGAGAGGGAGTGATGATAACTCGGCTAGAACTCTAAAAACTAGAAACAGACTGCGTATTGGTATTGCTCTGTCAATGGAACTCATGAATTTGGCGAAAAAAGCCGATGTGGTGAAAAACAGCGTCACATCAACGATTCTTTGCGAACACTCCGCATATCCATATTTCTTGCAGACCACTTTCTTCTAAGGAAAATTTTAATATTAATGTTTTCGAGTGCAACATTCTAGAAGAAGTTAGAAGCCGTGTGATCGTGTTCCACGCGTATGCATCAGAACGTGCGTTGCGCATGTCCCAGAGTTGAAGGTCGTGGAGTTGAAGTTCGTTCCGCACCTCTTCTGATTTAATTGATTCTGATGTAGGTTTAAACTGGTGTCCTGCCAGATGCAAACACTTTCAGACTTCGTACCGAACGATGCCACTCGTGTCATCTCGTTCATCACGCCGATTTCTGATTTGGCTTAGGAATGTAACGATTGGAAGTGAAGAATCACAAGATCATGATTACCGAAAATGGAAGACTGGCTTGCGAAACAACTTCTTGGAAGTTTGTCGTTAAACCAAAACATTAAATCAGTTTGACGCGCTCAGCAGCAGACCTCTTTAAGCCCTAGGTCAAACTTCCAGCAATGATTTAAGAAGAGAGAAATGCGCCCTTCATTTTTATGCCCTCTCTCTATTTAGTTGTGACATGTCTTCGTTGAATTCCCTTTTGAAGCTTTTATGATTTTATTTTCGCACTTTTACATGATTCGTCTTCAAATCAATTGTGCGGATTCTAGCAGTCCTCAAATTTGATTCGTCTATTCATCACTCTACAAAGATTTTCGGTCTTCTTGCGCGTGAGTTCGGCTGCAGCTTGAGCTTTTTTTTCTTCGTTATAAATGACTCTCAATGTTGGTTGAATGGATTCTCTCCGTCTCTTGGAATACTGGAGGTTTCTTACGTGTATTAGAAGTAATGAACCGATCGCAGAAAATTCTGATACCAATTTACCGACACAGAAATGATCGATGGCTTGGTGAACAAGGACTTGGGATCGGATCGACAACCAGTGTCTATCGTAGGGCAGCTCTAGCAACTGCGCTGCACGCCCCTCACGAGCTTGTTTCATAAAGAGCATTAATTAGGAGAGTGAAGCATAGTATATGCCGCCGGTAGATAAGTTAACGATGAAGGAGGGCATCGTAAGATTCTATAAGCTGCAATGTTCTAGGCTTGTACTGTTGTTCATCGATGTCCGTATGTCGTAAACAAATCAACAGAGCCAATCCAACTCTGGGAAAACGTAGATCGTTCACCAACAACTAAATCAAAAGTAGGAACTTAAATTGTAGACCACCTGGCTATTCTTGGAATTTTGCCCAGAGATTAAAACAGAGCTCAAAATGAATTGAATTTCACTCATAAGCGGAAAGAACGGAGGCAAAGCCCATCAAGTGCGTCATATCCTGTGCATTTCCTTAAAGTCATTGAATTTCTTAAACAGACCTTCTTCGCCTTGGAAACTTCGCTTTTTGGCTTAGTGCTTCAAAATAGTGCAGAAGTTGAAATTTCTGTTGTAGTTTGGCACTGATCCTATTAGGGAATTGAGCACGGCACGGTCGGCTGATTACAGATAAATCGGAAAGTTCTGGAACGAAGTCCAGATTTACAAAAAATGCAACCTACAGTCGCAGGACTTAGCACTCGTAGTAGCCTATTGAGCAGGTATCCTTCAGCACAGCTAATATATAGTGGAAGAGTGAGCAGCAAAGGAATAGAACAGCTTCCAGAACAATGACCCTGTAAGAAAACGTTGAGCTAAATGTTAGTTGACCTTACTGTAGAAGAGCGTTGTAATCTCTCAATCCAGATCCGACAAGTCATGGCACTCCCCATCGAGCAAAGTGCCAAGATCGCCAAGCACTGCTATTAAGCACTTCCTTTGATTATGAAAAATACTCTTCATATGTTCGGTTAGATTGCTCAGCCTATACGGGGTTGATAAAAAGGATTTATTCGGATAATATTTATTTATGTGATCTTATAAACTGACCTTCTTAAGCTGATGCGAGGTTGGTACAGATCTTCGTTGTCGTTGTCGTTGTTTTTGATGTTATTGATCGATGGCTGACGTTTCGGCAACTTCGCCTTCCGCAGTGCCTGGAAAAGTCTTCCTTTCTTTTTCCGGGTCTGTCCATGTCGTTACCATTGGCAGTTAGCCGTCTTTGATGATCGGAGAGAACTTCATTAGCATACAACTAGTACTGCAATTGGCCTACTCTTAGTGAGAATGATGATTTCTAACGTCTTTTCAGCACAAGTGACCCAGCTGTCAGGATGAATTCCTTATATACATAGGTGTCTTATGTTTCCATACATCACATGCTCTGTTGTTGGTATTCTGACGAGAAAGAGTACATTTTAAAATATAGATGCATGTGCTTTCTTCAGCCCAATGTGAAACGTTATGTCTTATGGAATCAACATATCATAAACTATCTTAAACTGACGGTTATAGGAAGAAGAAACGCTGGTTCATCGAATCACGGCACAGCATTAAGGCATTAACGGCATTAAGCCAATTATAGACAAAACCGCAGTTTCAAACTCGAACTCAAGGGTCATTTGATAGACTTTAAGAGATGCATTGATTACAATGCATTTGATGCGGAAATTATGGGCGCTTTCAAGTTCAAAAAAATGCATTTCCATCTATGACAGACTTCATTAGTTGGAATAAAATATCTTAAAATTTTCAGATATTTGCCTATAAGATGCAAGTTTTCATATAAGTCATTTTCTTCTGCCTAAATGAAAATATGATTTCGAGAATCTCATGAAGCTCATTTGCGTCAGTGCTCGTATTTTTTTTTATAAAAAAGTAACTGAAAAACGAAGTTTCATCCGGCAGAAGAAAGCGGCTTCCCTAACGCGCCGCCTATGTTCTTTCAACTTTCATTCCTGTCTTGAATAATTTCAAGATTTCGATTTCGTTATCACTATCTTGAAAGGTTTAGTTCTAAGCATATCTAGACTTGAAACGGCACTGTACGAAGTATGCGATTAAAACGGTAGGGCAAAGCATGTTCTACGAACCCATACTGTCCCGAACTTCTGGAATGTTCTAATGATTAGGAAATTACAATGACGCTGAGATATTTGCAAAGCTCTGGACCGCAGGTGTCTACCCGAGAGACAGGCGAAAAGGACCCGCATGAAGTGGTGGTGAATGCGTTAGCCCCCGGAAAGGGTAATAGCGCGTTCGTTCCAGAGCTTTGCATATATCTCAGCATCATTGTGGTTGTTTCACACGTAACACCCTGCCATTAAAAAATTGTAATAGACAGTAAATAAAAAGTCAACATTGTGATCAGGAAATCGTCGTCAGTTAAAGAAGGAACCTGTAAAAAGCAGAGATTGTTCTCATTTTCACGCAGAGATTCTCTAGTGATATCAAGCAGCACCGGATTCTCCTTATCTTCAATGTGTCTATACGTTCCGAAACTTTTGGAACAAGACTATGATGTTTAATATGATCGTATCCAAAGTAACAGACAATGTTGCGCACCGTTTCTGGGGCTTTGCATCTAGCTTGGAGTCCGTGCGTGACATTGTTCGAGCCCATTTTCCTCATTTCTATTTCACATGCCTACATTTAAATGTAATATCATGTGAGAGAAAAGTCCTAAACGCCTTTCGGAAGGAAACCTTAAGATTTCAGTTAGGAAATACCGACATTATTTTTTTCTAACTGGCTGTTCTATCCTCAACCTCAGTGATAAGCAATGTCTCATTCCTCGCAATTCGAAAAAAAGTTTTCCAATTCCTGAATCTCAACGAAAGTCCATACTGGATTCAAGCAAAACGAAATGGTATCATAAATTTGCAGTGCTGACAATGGCAAGA